ACTGGAAAGACGAACAGGCACGAGAAAGGGACGTAGACATACAATACGTGGACGAACTACTGGACATACAGGCCTTTGCGGACGATCAGGTGGACATACATATGGAACGCCTGTAGGAGATGGGCACTCAGGAGCGGAACAACATACAACACGAGGAAGACAGAGACCATGTTTATTGGAAAGAAGATACGACCGCCGGTATTTAAGACTGAAGACAATACCATTGAACAACGAGACAACATTAAATACTTGGGAATCACATTCGACAAACAACTAAATTTTATACAACACTTACGTGAGATCAGACATAAGGTGGACGAGACGGMAGTTAGACTTGTACATAAAATTAGACGACTCTGGGGAACAAACCAAACGACACTACTTAAAATACTGCAGAGAGCCCTAAAACCGGCAGCCCTCTATGGAGCAGAGATATGGGGCAAAAGGGCGAACGAGACAAGACAAAGACAGGAATTGGACGCTGCAATGAGGACAGGCCTCAAAATATCCATCAGGTCGTACCAAACAACATTAACAGCCGCGCTTCAAGTGCTGGCTGGTACACCGCCCTGGTGGATAGAAGCGTCAACAAGACATAACGTTTACAGGACAAGAACAAACGACGTAAAGAATCAAAGTACAAAACACAAAGACAGGCCGCATCCCAACATGGAACATTTACATGCAACAACGGAACGGGAAACGAATACACATAGACGCCACGTTGAAGCCCGATGGAAAATCGGCAATCGGCATACACTACGAGGACGGGGACGACCTTAGAATCAGAATAACGGACAAAACAAAAATCCACGCGGCCGAGACTTATGCTGCTATCAAAGCAATACAGATAGCAAATACGAGACAAGACAATAACATCACGATAAGAACGGACCGACTAGAAACAGTACAAATGGTCGGAAAGGGGCGTATGACGACAAAAACACTCACGGAATTAAGCATAAACAGACGGAACAAAGACACAGACAAGGGTGGACGACAAACGTGGAATGGGAGGAAGGACATAACAAGAACAATAAACATAACGCCGTGGCTCACAAACTAGCGAACGAAGGAGCCAACCTAACAAACGTGACAGAGGACATTTCACGCTACAACAACAGAACCAACAAAGACTGGGCCAAAATCCGATGCGGCATTAGAATGACGACATGGTAAGCGACAAAGGACGCACCCTGTACGAAATCTGTAGGACGATGGGCCGAGAGCCAATACTAGCCAACTAGCGACAGGACACGGCAACATGAAACACTACTTACACAAATTTAAACTCACGAACAATGCGACATGTACGTGCGGGATAGGGGACGAAACGACGGACCACATCAAATACCACTGCACAGAAACCGACAGACAGCGAGCACGGGAACACATACGGGACAAATACAGCAACTTCACGATAAATTTACGAGACCAGGACGGGAACAAGACGGAGGACATTAACAAACTAAACGAGTGGGCACAGTTGGCGCTCCGGACAGAAGATATGTCCCTGGGTAATTAAGTATAAGTAGATAGGTTAAGGACATGTATAGCTTTAAGGGTTAGGGAAGGAATTGTAATCGTAACTAGGTTAAGGTCTTTTTCCCATCTAATTGGAGGGAGGAGGTCCAAGGAACGGAGAAAGGAGTTCCACTGGTGGTCGTTTCGCGGATAGTGAGTGTGCTTAACACAAGGGGACAATTGGGGTATGCCGAAAGGCAGGAACCCAGGCGGGTACTACAGTCAACACATGTAAACACAGACGGGTCAGCTTATATACGGCGCAGGCCCTAACGGGGCACGGCTCGTTCCGTAAGTACACTGAGAGACTGGGCAAGACGGATCATCAAACATCAAAAATACATCTGCACGCGCCAACAGTGCAATGATAGCCCTGTCAAGACTCATGCCCAACATAGGGGGACCAAGCCCCAACAAGAGACGACTGCTGTGTTCAGTAGCTAGGTCTATACTTTTGTACGCTGCCCCGGCCTGGGGACATTCTATGAATACGGCAAAACACCGGAACATACACACAAGAATACAACGACAGGCGGCTCTACGTATATGCAGCGCGTATCGTACGACATCAACAGATGCCATTCTTGTGATTGCGGAAACGCCTCCCATGGACCTCGTTCTCGAGCAGATTTTACAAGTGGCACGGCTATGCCATGTCTTGCAGTCGTGTCCAACAACGCACGACTCGCGAATTGCTCGACATGACGACGTCGTCCGTCGGGTGGTCGAGCACTGCCGTGGCAAACGCTACGATGTAGAGCTCGAGCCTCACGTACGGTCCGGCGCCGGACAACTTTTCAAACCAGACATGGCGGTGCATATCAATGGACTCACAACCGTGATAGCCGATATCCAAGTTTCCTGGGACGGCGCTGGTCGACCATTGGCTGTGGCTTACGCGGAGAA